ATGAAGAAAGTCATGGCTTTGTTAAAGGCATGTATGCCGAACAAGGAAAGGGTGGTGAGGGTTAGTCTCATGTTCAGCTATGCAAATCGAAAGTGGCATGAAGCGCGGTTACGAGACTTACCATGCTGTAATACTGGAAATCCAGGAAAGGGTTACCAAGATGTCTTGAAGAAAGTGCTAATTTACTTGAAGAGATCAAGGATGTGATGCCACCAGAGATGCCCAAGATATTGCCACCAATGCGGGCAGTGGATCACACGATTGAGTTGGAGCCCGGAGTACAGCCTTTGTGGAGGAGAGGATCAACACTTATGTGAACAGGTGGAAAGTGGTGTCGTGAGACGATATTGGTTGGAAGATGGTGTACCTTTGGTAAAGGAGGACAATTATATGTCCATGTTGACGAACATCGTGTGGAGCTCTTGAGAGAGTCATGAGTCATGACCTACCGTGGACAAGTCATCCCGGACGGATAGACATAGAGAATGAATGCACTACTTGAGCAATACTTAAGGCATTACGTCACGGCAAGTCACAGAATTGGCTTGAGTTGCTAGATAATAGATATGGCACAGATCCCAACCCTTTGAGCCTGGAATGACTCCATTTGAGTTGGCAATCAGATTCCAATCCTTTGCGCCTCATCAAATGATGACAAAGGCGGGACCAAGGTAGTCAAACTCGAGATCCTACGCAGGATCGGAATTTGGAATAAGGATCGTAAATCGTAGGATCGTGACTCGGATCGTAAGATCCTACAAATTATATACTTACATATACATACACACATATGTATATGTGTATATATATGTACATATGTATACATATAGTTAGAAAATAAATATAATTGATAAATAATGATCAAAGTAATATGTAATGATCAAATAAATTGATATATAATGATCAAATAAATTATACTCCGTAACACCTAACTACCTAGCAGATAACAATTTAAAGTAATATGTTCTTAAATAAATTATAATAATGTGTATTATATAGTAATTTAAGAAAGAAAAAAATACTAGTACATAAATTAAAGTATTGAATATATATAATTAATTTATATGATTACTACCTCCGTCCCGTTGGAATGTTCCCGTTCGGTTTACGATGCTTGACTGACGATAAAGCAACTCGATCCCTGTTCACACTCCGCTTATTTTTACTAAATAAAATTTACATATTCAGAAACTACATTAAAACCGCTACAAAGCCTGATCAAGAAAAGTTTAATTTGATAAAAATTTGATTTATAAAGTAAAAGATTAGGAGTGACCTAAGTTGACCAATGAATAGTGAACGGGAACATTCCAACGGGACGGAGGGAGTATATACTAACTCACCTGCGCTTGAGAGTTGAGAAACGAAATAAGACAATTCGAGTCTTCTTCTTCAGCAGAGTGAACACTCGCACTTTTCGTTGACAACGCAGAACTGGGAGAGGGATGGCTGCCGCCTGCCTTCGAGTCTTCCACAAAGAGCTGGAGCCGTGGAGGTCGCCGAGTGACCCAGTCGGACCTGAGAGTGGAGTTCGCCGGGAAGAGTTTGGTTGCAGAGAAGTACAGAGCAAGGGATTGGAAGAAGGTGATGCTTGAATGATTGAACCATTGCTGAACACTTAATTTATAGATGCTTTTGCACGCAATTTGAAGCGACAGAGATCTCTTTTAAAATTTTCGAACGTTTTCCATCGATTCCAGATGGTTCGCACCCTCTCTGTTGACGTTTCGGGTGGCCTGAATTTTTTTTCGTTTTTCTTCAAAGGCTGCAAACGGATCGCCGATCCTATGCGAGTCTACGAGTTTACGATCTGAATCGGCGATTCAGCCGTTCCCACATTTTTTACGATTTTCTCTAAGAACGGGATCGCTGATTGAGTATTGACGCGTAAACTCGTACGATCCTACGAGTAGAATCGCGATTTTGACTACCTTGGGCGGGACTGTGGAAGAGCACAGTGTCCAGTGGCAGCACGATTTGCAAGGGACAAGCATAAGCTGATTGAGGATGCCCGAGATAGTCTTGCATTGGCCCAAACAAGAATGAAGAAGCAAGTTGACCAAAGGAGACGCGATGTTCAGTTTCAAGTTTGAGACTTGGTGATGTTGAAATTGACTACAAAGATTTGGAAGAAGATTAGCACCAAATCTATTCACCGTGACTTAAACCTGAAGTATGATAATCCCTTAGAAGTCAAGCACAAAGTAGGTGAAGTAGCTTATCGGTTAAAGCTACCTCATAGATTGAAGATCCACCTACTTTTCATGTTAGCTTCTTGAAACAATTCAATCAAGAGGAGTTTGATGCTTCAATGCAGCAAACAAAGAGAGCCCATCCAACGATTAAAAGTGAAGTCGAGAAAAGCAAAGATTTGGGATCATTCTATTAAGGGTCAAAGCATAGTCACATGGATCGCTGTGCGATCTGGAATGCAGAACGAAAACGGGATTGCGGATTGCTAATATCTTAAATCCGATGAGTCAATTCCCCAAATAGAACTAAAAAGTGGCAAAATTGCACAAATAGGACTACATTGTTTAAATTCCCTTAATAGGACTATTTATGTGTGTTTGGACAAATATACTCTTGTAACTTTTGAAATGTTTTAATTAATAATAAAATCATAAAAAAAACGTAAAAAAATAATAAAAATCGTAAAAAAATAATACAAAATTAATAAAATATTTATAAAATAAAATAAATTAAAAAAATAAATAAAAAACGTAAAATTAAAAAAAAATGTCACCCCTGCCAGCCCCAGCACCACCATCTCCCTTCACCGGAGAAAAATCTGTCAACATTTTAAATAATGCCATAATGATGGCATATTCAATGAAAATGTTGACATATTGAAAAGTAATTATGCTATCTTTTTGGCATTTTCAGAAAAAGATGGCATTTTTTTACCAAAAATGGAAGAAATTTCACCAATCGGAGGTGGTGGTGCTGGGAGGTGGCGGGAGGCGGTGGGAAAGGTATCCATAATTTTTTAAATTTTTTTATGGGTTTTTACTATTTTGTTATTATCTTTTAAAAAAAATTTAAAAAAAAAATATTTTATAAATATATTATTAATTTTTTATAATTTGTTTACGATTTTAAATATTTTTTACGATTTTTTAAGATTTTATTATGAATAAAAGCATTTCTTTATGAATTAATACCCTTGGGGGTATTTAGGGTAGAAAATCAATGTTTAGTCCTATTTAGGGAATTTATAAAGTTGTAGTCCTATTTGTGCTTTTTAGAAACTCATTTGTCCTATTTAAGACAATTTCCGAAATCTGATGTGCGGGGGGTAGGCTTCTTAGGTACACTGTCTCGCTACGCGGTACGTTGTACCTTTTATTATTGTACGGTGTACCATTAACATATACAATTTATAAATTACAAATATAATATTAATAATAACATTTAAACTACAATTTTTAATATCATCAAGAACTAAATCTGAAAAGTTAAGGGCCTGTTTACTAACAGAGATATTTTCCTGTTTTCTACTTCTATTTTTCATTCTCCAATTTTCTGTTTTTATTTTTCAGTTTTTCTATCTCCAATTTTCTGTTTCTATTTTTTAGTTTTTCATTTTCAAATTTGAAAACATGTTCATCAATTTTTTCACATAGTTCTCCAATTCCACACCCTTGACCCCTAGCTTTACCCGTACCACGATCTTATGTGGGTGGGGGCATGTGGTGGGGGTGGGGTAAGGTCATTATAGGGAAAAATGGGTACGCGGGGTGGGGGTTGGGTGGGTAGGGTAGGGTAGGGGTAAGGGGTAAGGTACGAGGATGGAGGTGCCGGAATGGAATCGACATCGGAGCGGGACCGGACCCACCACTAGGTGTAAGTATGCAAATTCATTGCAAAGGCACTGTATCATCTGCGTTTTCCAAATTTGGAAAACTAGTAAAAGTCATTTCTCCAAATCATTAAGGAAAAGAGAAACATGTTTCATTTTTTCCGTTTTGGAAAACGATTTGGTAAACGCGTTTTTCTTTTTTCCTTTCTCCAGTTTTCCAAGAATGTCTTTGGTAAACACGTTTCCAGTTTTCTGTTTTCCAGTTTTCCAGTTTTCTGGAAAACTGGAAAATATTTCTGTTAGTAAACAGGGCCTAAGTTTTCAGGTAATAGACTAATAGTACGATAAAGTATTCAATATAAATAAGTAATAAAAAATTGCAGCTCCTTAAAAAAATAAGCTCTTAAAAATAGAATACGCTCCTTAGTCCAAGACAAAAGAAGGAAAGATATAGTCCAACCATCCAGTCAATTGACCCACAAAATGAGAGAAAGTGAGAAACAAAGAGAAATAGAGAACGGCTTTTAACTTTACCAAAAAAAGAATGGCTTTAAGAGAATGGCTTTTAAGTAACTTTACCAGACGTCGATCTAAAATACCGAAGAATTAAAACCACGAAGCAAGCAGTATGCGTCGATTACAAGCGATCAGAGTCGGCGACCAGTTTCAGCAACCATCGACGGCGATGGCGACCAGCTACAGCGATGGCGACAACAACCATCGTACCAAAGTCGCGACCCAGACGCGTGCGGTTCGCTACTGTACCGTGATCCGGAACACAGATCGTGGCATGTCTAGCGATTTCTGTAACTATGACTCATGTCTGAATGGGAAAGCTGGTTTTGGGTTAACTGATGCCATGGCTGAATGGGTGGCATTAGCAGTTGACGGTTACAACTGCCAACCATTTGTAAAGTCACGTCCCTTTAAACTAGCCGGCTAGGCAATTGGCTTGTGGCTGTCGGACTTGGTCAAGTCGAATAGACCATGCCATAACAAATTTTATATTCTTGAGTTGGTAATACAAGGTTGGTCTTGGACCGTAAAGTGTGTGTGTCTTAAATATTTTTTCAAGTGTTCAAACGTCCCTAAACACTAAGTGAGCGTGTTTGTGAGTAATGATGACTATCTTAAGTGTTAAGATAGGCCGTGCACGAGTGAAATCTCAAAGTAATGAAATTTACAGTGTAACACTTACCAACATGATTAGTTGCAAATTGCAATTCAATGTTGTCCTGAGAGAGCATGAATGGCGGAGCCATAATCCCTGCGTTGTTACTTCAAAAGCAAATGTGGTTATTATTTCTTTCTTTGCACTAATTCAAGAATCAAGTTCGTAAACTTTAGATAAAAAATTATTGAAAAAGTGCATGTACATATTGGATGGTGAGTACGTATAAACAATCCAATTTCAAAGCATGACTGGAAAAACTCAAGTTTGAATTACAACTGAAAAGGATGACATTTGGTTACAGAACGCTAGATAGATCTCATGATTCATTTCTACTATTGGTTCAACATAATCACAGCCTTGCCAAAGGGTGTCCGAATTTCATGTCTTAATCTTCTAAGAACCATACATGATACATCAGTCATAAGGTGGTGTTTTCTTCACCTTATTATTATTGTTGTTGTTGTTGTTATTTTGCTAATTTCTCATTCCTGTTGTAGTTAGATCATACTAGATAGGTTTGGTTCGAAACTTTTCATACTAAACAACACAAGATGTCATAATACAAACAAGAAAATTGAACAAGATGATAAACGATGAACAAGATTTCGTCCTAGGTCTAGAACAACAGGTGAACTCAGGTAGACAAATAGATCAATTTCATATCTATGATGAGCACAGAGAGAGAGAAATGGAAATAACAAGCTTTATCAAGACGCCCAAGAATTAATTCTTCCAAAAGTGCATTATTTATCAATACCGGGACTCAATCCTAATAGTAGGAACTAGGAACAAAATGGAAATAAGAAATTGACTAAAACTGAATAGGAAATAACAGTAACCTTGCTGCCCAAGTTTAGCCACTTTTGGTTTCCTCCGGTTCTGCTTGGCCCTCACCTGCACGAGTTGTGCTCCTTCGGCCCAAATGGCATCACTCATAGGCACGTCTCCAGAATGCATCCATAACATCACTTCACATGTTGACCATGAGCTTGTCCTCAAGCTCAAATGCAGGGTTAGCTGCCTGAAATGCCTCAATAGGTTCCCATGATCCTTCCTCTACTAACTGACCCTCCCAGTGGACCAATAGCTTCAACCGGCCACAATGCCAACAGCTGTGGAGGATGGCATCAAGTTCCAAAACCAGAGGGTTATCCTCTAGTGGATGACTGGATGTAACTGTCCCATTACTCCCATAGAAGCTGGTGGATGCTTGTATGGCCTGAGTAGGGGTACTAGCTGGCGGCAACTGCACAGTTTCCCCTACACGAGCTATGATACGGAATGGCCCATAGTACTTCAGTAAAAGTTTGTGATGGCACTGCGTCAAGGAAACCTGGCGATATGGGTGCACCCGAAGCCATACCCAGTTGTCGTGCTCAAAGGTCAAGTCCCGCTGAGATTTATCGAGCCTACTCCAGTCGGGTGTGAGCTGCAGACAAGAGTGAATCAAGATCAACGAGCTCGCGCTAGACTACGTTGAAGCATGTAGTGCATGGTAAATAGGAAAGAGGATATGGTGGATCCCGGATGTAGACCAATCGAAAGGGGATGTCCCCTAAAGTAGTATGGTAAGATGTACTTCCTCCGTTCCGCTGAGATTGTCCTATCTTTCTTTTTCGATCCGTCTCACTAAGACTGTCTTATACCAAATTTGGTAAAACTTGTGTGGTTCCTCGGCACTTACCTCATCGATAGGTGGTTCCATCCCGGGCATAAAAAAAACTCAAGGTGTGCAATGGATGCAGGCAATTTTTTTAGGTTGTTGAATGATTTTTGGAGTTTAGATAATTTTTCTTCAAACTGTATGAAGCAAAATGGCTCACCAAACTGTCCGCGCTTCTTTGTTATGAAGCAGTCAGTCCATGCAATTTTGGACGTGATTTTCATTATGGGTCATCTAGAAACAGTCTCTCTGTGCTTTAGTACAGGGGTAAGACTGTGTACATCCGATCCCCCCTTACCCCACCGTAGGTGGGAGCCTTTGCGGCACTGGGGTAAATGATGATTGATTGATTTTGAGATAATTTTTCTTCAACATGAACTTGACACTGATTAGTGGACTTCATCATATTTTTCAGAGGTTCCATTGCTGCTAAATTTCCCACCATCATGCTTGATGTTGAAAATAAATTGTTATAAGTGCGTGAACAAGATCCTATCCAACAATGAAAGTTGACTAGGGTAGAGAGATAGGTCAATTTTCAAGACACCCAAGAACTAACTCTTCCAAAATCCAACCTAGTCATGGCATCCAAGAACTAATTCCTCCAAAGGTGCTTTATTAATCAAATGTTAGGGTCCCTTATATAGCTATCATAAGATACCTAACTCAAATAGAAACATAATGGTAATAAAAACCTATTAAAATTGAAATAAAAATAGCAATAGTATTATGATTAGGAAACTAATAATAATTAAAATAACAATAATCTTGTTGTCCAAGTTTAGCAACTTTCGGTCTCCTCCCGTTCTGCCTAGGCCATACATGCACACACTATGCTCCTTCATTGCAACTGGTGACATTGATAGACACAGCCACAAAATGCATCCAAATCATACAAACATAGAAAACGGATTAGACTAGAAAGATTCAGACCAGATCTTTAACATTTTTTATCAAAAACAACATCAAAGTCTTAGTTCCAGAAGCGTTTACGGTTGGCTAACATGAATAGATCGACATATAAAATTGGAGATGGGATGGGGGGTGGGATGAGATGAGATGAAGATAAGATTAAAAAAAAGATACTATAGAAATGATAAAAACACAACGAAGAAAAGAAAGATAAAGGATGTTTTTACTTGGACTGTAATTTGCTGGTATGGTCTGGTAAGGTCTGGTTTCTTTGTATTTTTATAATTATCCAAGTCTTGTCTAGTCTGGTCTGGACTGGTCTGGGACAAATTACAGTCCAAGTAAAAACATCCAAATAAGAAAGAAGATAAAAAGATAAAATGAGATCAATCATCCACACGTATATTATTCCTCCACTTCGCTCTCTCAAAAGTCATACTCACATTCAATCCAAGAAGTGCCATATCATTCATGACCCCTCTAATCCACATTTATTTGGGTCTTCGTCTCCCTCTCCTCACCACTTCTTCTCCCCACCTCTCAACTTGTGTAACTGGTGCATCACTCGGTCTTCTACACATATGGTGTCAAATCATCGCAATTGAGATTCTCGCATCTTATCTTTTATAGGTGCTACTTTCACCTTTACCTAATTGTCTTATTCTTCAAGCGGTCTTTCTAGTATGTCAACACATCCATGTGCATACTCTACATCCACTTTGCTGTCTCAAAAGTCATACTCACATCCAATCCAAGAAGTATCATATCATTCATGAGTCATGACCCCTATAATTCACATTTATTTGGATCATCCTCTCCTCCCCACATCTTCTACCCACCTCTCAACTTGTCTAATTGGTGCATCACTCGGTTTTCTACACATATGGTGTCAAATAATCGCAATCAAGATTTTCACATCTTATCTTCAGTAGGTGTTACTTTCACCTTTTACCTAATTGTCTTATTCTTCAAACGGTCTTTTCTAATATGTCCACACATCCAACGCAACATATGCATCTCTAGTTCTCTGCCACACTCATCATTTGAAGGTGATATTATTACACCGCCCAACACTCTACACCACACAGTAATGTAGGCCTAGTTGATGTTCAATAAAACTTACCATTCAATTTAGTCGACATACCTCGATCACATAGAAATCTTGACACACTCTTCCATTTTATCCACCCTATTCTAATTTTATTGGATACATCTCCATCTAATTCACCATCTTTCAGAACTATGGAGCATAGGTAACGGAATATATGATTGATTGGTGTCTCCTTATGGTCTAAGGTAATATCACTGTTATCGTTGCTTCTACATCTACTAAACTTGCACTCCATATAATCAGTTTAGCTTTGACTCAGCCTTAAATTCCTATTCTCTAGAATTTATTGCAATACTTCTAACTTCGCTTTGACACTTGATCTTTAGAAAAACGTATGTGGCCTGTGTCAAATCTGTAACTTCATCTTCACAATAAAGGTTATTATTGTAGTCTTGTAGAAGGGATTGTTTAAGACGTGACTTAATATAAGATCATTATTATCAATAGACAAATCCAAGAGCTCATGAAATTGTAAATGATTTTTTATATATGCAGTGGACATAGATCCCACCCGATAGAATTTGTGAATCATTGTCTTACATGAGGAGGTTCAAGGGTAGACCGGAGGAGTCATATTCGGAACAAAACTTTCTAATAGATTCCATGGAGCTAAGATCCAATTCCATGACATCAACTTTGGCATTAGGAATCTGTTTAGCTATACTTCGTTGTACTTCTTTACCGCTTTCCACATTGCGAACTGCAATAATTACATGTACACCACGCAAGGCAAGGACACGGGCAGTCTCTACACCAATACCACTTGAGGCTCCTGAAATATGCAAAGATGAGAACTGATATTAGTTTGGAGCGGAGCTAGATACAAATACCCTTCTACTACAATTAGTTTGTATTCAAAAGTTCAAAGCATAATGAGTGCATGGTAGACACTAGTGGCGTTTTCTTCTTATGAAGAAATAAATCAACCATATCAGCTGAATAACCCTTACAGGACAGGTGATGTGAATACGGCAGGGCAGTAACTTTGTAATGATTTGCATCAAGTGTAGTGAGCAGTTGCGAGACACTAAGTGTACTAAAAACAATTTAGACCATCAATGACAAACTCTGAAACTAAATGAAAAACAAAATCTCTAAAAAGGAGTTATCAAAACTCAAGGCTCCGTGTAGTGGCATCAGAATATATGGATATGGAAAAATAATTATTCTAACAAAACAGAAAAACTGAACTGTTTTAAGCAGATGAATTCCTCTCCTAAAAGAGGAAGTCATTTACAAGCAACAAAAACATGAAATAGAAAGAGTTATTTGACTATGTGCCTATTTGGTGATACAGGAAAGATCCAGTTCTCCAAAAACAAAATGGAGTCTAACCTATGGGGTAAATACTTCATTACCCCAAGTAGAGATTTTGATTATTATTTTTATTGATCAATTTAACAAAGAATTAAAATCAATTTATTAAAAAGCAAACATATCTCTTAATTTCATTATTTCTAATGCTATTACTATGTATTATTTATCATTTATTAACCAATAAACTCATGAGGATTGGGCAAGAATAATAGTAAGACCTAGGGTTCCACATAAAAATCTTATATATTAGTTACTTGATTTAACACTAATACCATATTAAGAGTTGGGTTTCATTTAAAAGGTTAACTTGATGTTACTTTATTATTTTATATGTAGCGGGTGTCAAACAAGTAATTAACTCTGCCACTCTAGCTAAAACATTGAATCTAGTCCATAAGTCTTATGAACTCATCCTTTTGTTTTCAACATTGCAAAATATTGTCATGCGGACTCTAACAGTTTAAATATTTATCAAAAATTATAAACATATTATCCAGAACAAACCAAGACTAACATCTGTTTCTTCCAAGACATCATGGCATATAAGTGCACTAAAACTAAATAGAAAAACAAGACATAAAATATTTCCTTCACTTTGTTGTTATTTAGAAAAGCATTAAGATAGAAAACATTTCCCTCAGTAAAGAGGGATGTTTACTTATCTCGTGTATAAAGATATGAAACAAGATATAAGGCATTAACTAAAGTATAATATCAGAGTGAAATAGTGAATTAAGTTTAAACTAGCACTGAAGTCTAAACAAAATTAAGCTAGACTCGATAGCGAACACGGTCCTCAAGATTGGTTTTAAACTAGCGTTGAGCGAAAAGAACACTCCACACAAAAAATAACTTCAATATCTCAACAGAAGACTAAGGGACCTGTAACGATGGCAGTAAGGCCGGTTCCATCTATTCCTTGAGTAACTTCCTCAGCCGTTGATGAACCGGAGAAACCAGATAGCCCTCTCCTTCCAAATATCCACATTTTTTCGCTACCAGATTAAAAAAAAAATAACTAATCAAAATCAAAACATTATATCGTACTTTCGGTGAAGTCCGGGCCAAATTACCAAAATTGGTATAAAAAAGGGTCTCTTACCAGATTTGTAAAAACAAAATCATCTCACTTAAATTGGCAAAAAAACGCTTGAGTGTCAATTTTTTGAGTGAGATACTTTTGGTCCTCGATTATAGAATTCCCAACATTTCCGGTCCTTCTTAGGCGTGGATCGGGACCGGGACCGGGACGGAACTGGGCGGGGCTGGGGTTTTGGGTTGCAGGCCCGGCACCGCGCCGGGTCGAGTTTATATTTTTTTTAAATGGATTTTAAAATTAATTCCTACGCCCACCCCACGCCCCAAACCACCCAGCCCCACCTACCTAGCCGCAGACCAAATCCAAAAAGAAAGAAAAAATTAAAAACAATGGCCCGAATCGGTCCCGGACCAACCGGGCCGGTCACCATTTTACCAGTCCCGTAGCCCGCCCCCTAATCCCAGTTCAGGCCCCATTATCGGTCTCGATACCGCCCAGCGGACAGGGTCGGGCCTGCACAGTGGCGGGGCGGGGCGGGGCGGGGCGGGCCGACCCAGTCCATCCCGGATTTTGTCATCAAAAGGTCAACGGATTCCGTTAAATTTTTTACTAACCGCTTTCATTAGTGGTTTAAAATGAATTGTTAGTGACTTAGTGTTAGTAATTACTTTTTAAGATGTAAAATGATCATTATATATATGACTTGTAAAAAGTTTTAAATTTTTTATTTTCGTTTATTTTAAATAATTACTACCACTATCATTTTTTCAAGACTTATTAAAACTCAAAAAATAAAGTTAAGTTAAATATATATACTTCTACATTCATATCCTTAATGGTCATTTTACATCTTAACATTTAATCGCAAATAGTTAAGTTACTAACATTTTGGTTCAAACCGCTAATGAAAGTGATTAGTTAAAAAAGTTAACAGAATGGAGTAGATTTTTTAGAAATTAGTAAATAATCATATTTAAAATATTAATACTAAAAATATATGAATTTATATGTGCGTGCTCGCATTAATTTACATATGTTAAAAATGATAGTGTTAGTGGTTATTTAAAATAAATGTAAATATAATTTTTAAAACTCTTTCCAAAAATTATTAAAATTAAACGAAATAAAATTTAATTAAATATATAAACTTTTAAATTCATATCCTTAATGGTCATTTTATGTCCTAAAAACTAATTGCAAACAACTAAATTACTAACACTTTATTTCAAACTGCTAATGAAAGCGTTTGGTTATAAAAGCTAACGGAATCCGCTAGTATCAATCTGCTGATTCAACCACATATTAGTTAGCAGACAACTACTATTATCAAATACGACCGTTGACATTTTGCGTCATTTCATTTTGATGACAAAATCAAAGCAGAAGAACTGAAAATGTCAATCTCACAATACTTAATATATGAAGTGTGGGTAGTTCTAAAATTGAGGACCAAAAGTGTTTCACTCGAAAAAATTGATCAATTTGTCAACGGGACTTCTTTATTTTACCAATTTGCCTGAAATGGTTTTTTTTTATCAATTTGATAAAACATTCTCTCTCTTTTACCAATTTGGTAATTTGGTCGTGAAGTCTACGGTGTATGACTTTGATTTATTGAAGAAGAAGACGAGAAATACCTAGTACATATACGTTCTTTAATCTTTATGATTAATTAATAATAGGAGTACATATACCAAATTGCTGAGGAGTGAAGTGTAGAATGTGGGCGAGGCATTTCACCCCTCAATAATCACATTTATAGCAATTTGGGCAATTGAGGTGTGACATTTACAATCTCTGAAATACGGGTCTGACAATTCAATATGGTGACTATTTCAGCGATTAAAAGTGTAATTTCCCTTAATAATATTATTTCAGTCCCATAAGGCCATAAATTTGGGAGTTATTAAGAAAAGTAAGTTTATGTGGTTGATATTGAATTGAAAAAATAAAAATAAAGTAAAAATGATTTAGAGTCACATAAACTTTATCAAATTTGGCATGAGGCAATCTTAACGGGGCGGATGGAATATATGGGATTAAACACGAGGGAAATTCTAAAACATGGAGTATTTCCCCCCAAGTATCCCCACTTCACTACTCCAGTTACTTTGAGACGTCCTTCTTAAACAAGAAGATGATTTGTAAAGTAAAAGGTTTTCTCCAACGTTCCTTCGTACAAGAGATGTGTAGATGAAGCTATTGAAGTGTTAAAGAACTAGAGGAACTTTTTTCTCTTGTTGGATAGTGAGGTATGAAAATATAGTTTTATCCAACGTCAAGCTTTTTCTTGTTGAAGGTGAGGAAGATGAGGTCTCAAGAATTTGCTTGTTTGAATTTGTTCGTAGAGAGTAAGTTATCCGGGCAGTCCTTCGAGGTGTATCTTATATACTGTGAGATGTCTTCCCGTTGGAGTTGTAGAAGACGGCTTCATTAAATGCTTGTACTGTTGATTTGACCGGTTGGACCCAAAAAGTAGACGACTTGCTTTTTGGGGCGTATTAAATAATATTCGCCTGGATCCTTGGTCAGTCATCAGTTTTAAATATCTCGAGGAGTGGAGCTAATTAAATGGGCATTAAATACGCGTCCAGTAGCTTTTCCGTTAAGAGGCTCCTAGCCGTTAGAGAATTTCCCGTTAGTCTTTTTAACAAAAAGAGACTTTATTAATGATAAATAAACAAGTACAAAGAAAGGACAAAGAAAAGACGAAGCAACAAAAAAACGAATAAAAATAGAGCTCAACCCATAAGTACAAGACAAGACCCTCTCAATAAAACCACCAAGTAGCATGCATAATCAAAATCCCACATGAGATTGAGATCTAGTCCTCATTGGATGCGAGCGTTGATGTCTCTTCCTGTAAATTTTCATTTGAGTGTTGAGGTTTTGTGTGGGCGAGCAATTTTCCTTTGTGACCAAGCAAGCCTTATTGCAAATATCTTGATTAAAGTCTAAGTCCCATAAATCCTCAATCGCTGAAATTGGTACCCTCTTCTCGCTCTCCGAAGCATGACCAAGAAACTCATCCCCTGAATATAACTTTTTCTCGGCAAAAGCATCATCACATTCAAAGTTTAGAGAGCATTGAATACCTGTAACAGTCTCTGTTGGAATGTTTACCGCTTGAGAAGCACATTCTTTTACCCCTTCATTTTGTCTCTTGTCTTAATAATCACAATTTTCCAAATAGGATAAAATAATTTTTTTTTGGATTCTTTAATAAGAAAATGGGACAATGAGTCAACCCTCCAGTCATAGTTGTCTGGAAAAAATCCCTAATTTTTGCAAGAGAAGAGTCTGATGATAGTTGAGAACAAGAATGTTCCTCGACCAATATCGGAATATTCTCACAAGAGACAGATTGCTCGATATCAACTCCTAACAATGGACCTGAAATAGAGTAGTCATTGTTGAAATATAAACTAGAATGATATTAAAGGTGGAGAGAAGAATTTTCTGTGTATTTCATTGAAAGGTAAAGCCCTATAAATATAGATTACAAAGATAGAATATTCCTATAAAAGATGCTATTCAATAATACTATATATGGTATATTCCTAATATATTCTAAAGCATATTCTAAAGTATATTCTAATATACTTTCACACTCCCCCTCAAGTTGGAGCATAGATATTTATCATGCCCAACTTGTTACATAAATAACCAACTCGAATTCCATTTAGTGCTTTAGTGAACAAATCTCCAAGTTGTTCTCCAGTCTTCACATATCCTGTAGAGATCAATCCTTTTTGTATCTTCTCTCGAATAAAATGACAATCGACCTCAATATGCTTTGTTCTCTCATGAAATACAGGATTGTTTGCTATGTGTATAGCAGCTTGGTTATCACACCACAATTTAGCAGGTATTGATGTCTTCAGTCCGAGCTCGGTCAATAGATGGCTTATCCATATGATCTCACATGCAGATTGTGCCATAGCTCGATATTCTGATTCGGCACTCGAACGAGAAACCACATTCTGCTTCTTACTCTTCCAAGATACAAGATTACCACCAACAAAGACACAATAACCAGATGTAGATCTTCGATCATCTTTAGAACCGGCCCAATCAGCATCTGCAAAGCATTCTATTCTCATGTGATCATGATTTTGATAAACAATACCTCGTCCTGGTGCACCCTTTAAGTAACATAATATGTGTTCTACTGCAGCCCAATGATCAATGGTTGGAGATGACATGTATTGACTCACTACACTCACAGAATAAGCAATATCTGGACGAGTGACTGCGAGATAATTAAGCTTTCCAACCAGTCTTCTATATCTTTCTGGGTCTTCAAACGGTGTGCCTTCTTGAGTGAGTTGCACGTTGGGAACCATGGGTGTTGTACTTGGTTTTGCCCCTAATTTCCCTGTCTCAGCTAGTAAGTCAAGTACATATTTACGTTGAGATAGAAATATGCCTTTCTTACTTCGTGTTACCTCAATTCCCAGAAAGTATTTCAAAGAGCCAAGATCTTTCGTCTGGAATTGACTATGCAGAAAATTCTTAAGGGCCAAAATACCTGCATTATCACTCCCTGTAATCACAATATCATCAACATACACCACAAGCAATGTGACACCTGATTCTGTTTGTTTGTAAAAGACAGAGTGATCTGATTTGCCTTTTATCATTCCAAATTGTTCAATTGATTGACTGAATTTACCAAACCATGCACGAGGACTCTGTTTCAGACCATAAAGAGATTTGCGAAGTCGACAAACTTTACCACACTCCCCCTGAGCAACAAATCCCGGAGGTTGCTCAATATAGACTTCTTCCTTAAGGTCACCATGCAAAAATGCATTTTTAATGTCCAACTGATGTAAGTGCCAATCATGAGTTGCAGCGAGTGAAATAAGTAACCTGACAGATGTTAATTTAGCAACAGGAGAAAAAGTGTCAGAATAATCAACACCATAGGTTTGAGCATAACCCTTCGCAACT